GAGGGACTCTCACGAGAAACCTCAATGAACACCTTGTGGAGGGTGGCTCGGAACATGCGTAATCGCTCATCTTCTAATGAGAGTGACTCCAACCGATGGATATTCGATTTCGCTAAAAAGGTCTGTCCGGACTCAGCTCCAGCACAACACATTCTTCGAGAAGCGTCTCCGAGCGGCAGCTCGCTGGATAGACCATTCACAATGCTGGAATTCTCTATGGCTTTTCTTTCATCAAACAACTCCTCACCGGGAAGCGATATGATTAAATTCAATCTTCTGAAAAATCTCCCAGATATCACTAAAAGACGCTTGCTAGACTTATTCAATTCCTTACTAGAAAACAACATTATACCGCCTGAATGGAGACAGGTCAAAGTAATAGCATTCGAAAACCTGGCATTGGGAAATTGTTGGAGAAAATGATCCTTCGGAGACTCGATCAGTGGGTCGAAACAAATAACTTGCTATCAATTACACAGTTTGGGTTCCGCAAGAGCAAAGGAACAAACGATTGCCTAGCGCTGCTTTCCACAGATATTCAACTGGCCTTTGCGCACAAGGAGCAATTGGCTTCAGTATTCTTGACATTAAGGGGGCTTTTGATTCAGTTTCCATTAAAATTCTGTCAAACAATCTGCACAGATGTGGAATTTCCGGAATTTTAAATAATTTTTTGTACAATTTGTTGTCAGAAAAGCAAATGAACTTTTCCCTTGGACAACTGACAACTTCCAGAATTAGCTACATGGGTCTGCCCCAAGGCTCATGTCTCAGCCCTCTTCTTTATAACTTTAATGTCAAATCACTTTATGGGGTGGCTTTCTCAGTCTTTTAGTAGAAACGATTATTTTTTTACGTTCCCGACGTTTCGACCGTTTGGTTGTGGTCTTTCTTCCTTGAGAAAGACCACAACCAAACGGTCGAAACGTCGGGAACGTAAAAAAATAATCGTTTCTACTAAAAGACTGAGAAAGCCACCCCATAAAGTGATTCCAATCAACCAGTCGAAACCACCATTAGCTTTAATGTCAAAGATATCGACAACTGTTTGGCAGAACAATGCACGCTTAGACAACTTGCAGATGACGGTGTGGTTTCCGTAAGAGGTCCACATGCCGTGGACTTGCAAGGACCATTGCAAAGTTCCTTAGATAACTTGTCTTCTTGGGCTAGGAATCTAGGGATCGAATTCTCGCCGCAGAAAACTGAAGCGGAACCAAGCCCAAATGCATCTTAATCTTTTGGGCAGAAACATTACTCAATCATTGTCTTTCAAGTACCTTGGGGTCTGGTTTGATTCAAAGTGCACTTGGAATATCCATATTACGTATTTGAAGCAAAAATGTCAGCAAAGGATCAACTTTCTCCGTTCAATTTGCGGCACATGGCGGGGTTCTCATCCGGGAGACCTCATAACGCTTTATAAAACAACTATTCTCTCTGTTCTAGAGTATGCCTCTTTTTGCTTTCTCTCGGCAAGAAAATGTCACCGATGGAACGAATTCAATCTCGTTGTCTGCGTATTGCTCTCGGCTGTATGCACTCAACGCATAACATGAGTCTCGAGGTTCTTGCAGGAGTAACACCCCTCCAGAACCGTTTCTGGGAGCTCTCTCTCTCAGAATACTAATCAAATGCGGAGTGACGAACACACTTACAATTGAACATTTTGAAGAAATTCTTGGGCTGAACACACAATCTCGATTTATGAGAATCTACCACCACTACATATCGTCAGATATGTGTCTTCCTTGTTACACTCCAGACCGTGCTCACTTCACCAATCGCAGTTTCTCAATTGAATATGGTCTGACCATGAAACAAGCAACTCTTGGGATTCCCGATCAACTTCGACCTATTATTATCCCACGTATTTTTACTGAAAAGTACCAAAACGTCAATTGCGCGAACAGATATTTTACAGACGGGTCACGTCTCAATAGATCCACTGGCTTCGGTGTCTTCAATGAAAACTCTAGCGCCTTCCGCAAGCTTCAGGAACCTTGTTCCGTTTTTGTTGCTGAGCTGGCAGCAATCAACTTCGCATTGGGGATGATTTCCAACATGCCCGCAGACCATTACTTCATCTTCTCGGATAGTCTCAGTTCGATTGAGGCTATTCGGTCGATGAAACCAAGAAGGCACTCATCTTATTTCCGGGGTGCGCAGGAAGGCGAATTTTATGACAAGCAAATTTCACACGATGAATTTTACCATTTAGTGCGTCAGAGTACCCTTTAGAGTTGGCAAACCGATTGGGACAATGGAAATCTTGGACGGTGGTTACATTCAATTATTCCTAATGTTTCTTCGAGAGCGTGGTTTAAAGGCTTGGACTTAAGTCGTGACTTCATTCGCGTGATGAGTAGACTCATGTTCAACCACTACTCGCTAGATGCTCATTTCAATAGAATAAACCTCGTGGACAGCCACATCTGTCGGTGTGGAAACGGTTACGATGACATCGATCACGCAGTTTGCCAGTGTACGGATAATGACGCCGCCAGAGAGCGACTTTTGAATACCCTTGAGGCCCATGGAAGACAACCCTATGTTCCTATTAGAGACGTGTTGGGAACTCGCGATATCGGCTATATGCAGTCGGTTTATGTGTTTCTTCAAATGTCTAGTATAAGAATTTAATTCCTTCGTCTTTTGTCTCTCTTTAATCGTTTTTGTTTGTCTTGTCCCCCCGTCTCGATGAGTCTCATCATCGCCCACTGGTCACCATAGCCGGTCGAACTCCAGACGAAACTAGAACCACACTACCATTCATACTGGCGACAACACTCTGATGAGGCAACGAAACCTTACCCCCAAGCTCCTCCCCTGATTCTATCCTTCGACAATGTACCTCTCTAACCTCGAGTAAGCCGCGAGTATTCGGCCCGACTCCTACTAGAAATAGAATTAAGTGAATTTTGTTACAAACAAAGAACAATGAACTATCGGCTCCGTAAAACTAACGCGATTGAGCCTACCAAATAAACGAACTAGATAAAAAAAAAAAACACATTAGATGTGAGAACCACATTTCCCATCACGGAAACGCCTCGTTTTCTGATGTTAAAATTACGCATTTTCGTGCTCAAAACGCATAGAACTTTTGGTTTATTCAAAAGATAATAAAAAAGCGCATTGGTTGGAGGAATTATTGCTAAAAAAATTTCAATCACGAGATATTCGCGATAAATCATATACATTCGAGATATATTTGCTTTTTATAGCGTCCTGGAGAAAACCTTACGAAGTGTTTCTGGTCATTTAACATGGTTATGTGGTATTCATGGCTTAAGAAAACCATGACCCTTCTCCTACCAAACTACCCAACTCCGTAGAATCTTTGGGGCGTCGGTGAGTTGCTGGCCTTCCGTTTAGTAGAAGTTACATCAAAAATATCCTTCCTTTACCCATAACCGAGAAGACGGGCGTGGTAATTGTCATGCTTTTCCTGTTTTGAACAATCCCAAATAATTTTCCTTAAGCAATCAGAATAAGAACGGGGAGCTGCCTCCCTGGCGTTGGTAAGATTGGTGCTCAGCACAGAAAATAAGATCAACGGAAAATAATGTCAAGAAACGAGCAGGACTACGTTCTACATGAATGAGTGTCTGCAAAACCGACAGCTTCCGTTTCTCAAATCACACAACGTTCCTACCATTTTTTGGCCGGATCTAGCTTCTTGTCACTACTCCAAGGACGTTCTAAAGTGGTACAATACGAATGGGGTCAATTCGGTGCCGAAGATCTCAATCCCCCAAACACACCGGAGTTGCGGCCGATCGAAAAAATACTGGGCTATAAAGAAGCACTAACGTCGTAAGCATCCTAAAGTTGTCACTGCGGAGTAGGAAATGTTGAAATCATGGATGAAAGCAGAAAAATGTCGATTCAACCGTTGTACAAAACCTTATGAGTGGAATTAAGAAGAAAGTTCGGGCATTTGGATTTGGTGAAGAAATAGAGTGAAATAAGATAGCTTAACCAATCTTGTATATATTATTACATTCCCTGAAAATTTCATGACAATCGGTTGAGAGACTTATTTTGACGAGCACTTCTATGAGATGCAATTTAACTGTGGACACTCTTTAATCACTCCTATTATCTATTCCGTTTGAAACGAAATTCCCATAAAAAATATAGGAGCTCCGTTTCGAGTGGAATACAGAATAGGGGTATAATATCACTTATGAATAATAATATTAATATTTTAATATCATTTTGATATTAAAATAATATTTTGGTGTCCGACTCGGGCGTGGTGCCTACATTGAACTCTCTACATCTCGATGTTGAAGGGACCTTCGAGTTATAGAATTACCGAGATATAAATAAACAATCCCATACAAAATCGCTAGCAGCCATAAAATTCATTTTTACTGCGGTTCGAGTTAGTGGACATCGTGTTGTGGAGAGTAACGGGTGTTCAATAAAAAATAAGAATGATTTCAGTGCCGTCCAGCGCTCTTGTGAGAGCATCGCGACTAATTTGCGTCGTACGGCTGACCAGGGCCCCTTTTCCAATATTCATTGATGTTTTTTTGAAGAATAAACATTATGTTTTTAATAAAAAATACTGAATTCGTTGAAAAAAATAAATTTTTACACACTGGGGGGCGACCCCGGCGTAGTGGTTTACATCCATTCCTCTCACGCCAAAGTCACGAGTTCAAATCTCACCCCCGGACAAGTCACAAATGACCCAAGAGTGTTAAAGTGACTATAATAAAAAAAAAAAAAAAAAAAAAAAAAAATTTTTACAAGCTACATGACTGAAAAAATTCTCATTTTTTATTAAACATCCGTTAGACTGTATGTCCTATAAACAAGGTAAAACTGAATATGACAGAAAAAAAGGTGCAATCAACTCATAAACTTGAGAATACAGGTTCAAAATTAACTAAAATCTTTAAAGTTTTGTAAAAAAAATAGAGTCAATATTTGCTACAATGAGTGTCGGCATTGGGAAATCATTTAAGATATAAAAGCATACTTACTAATGGAACAGTCGGGTCCTTGATAACCATCGATGCAATCACATTTTCCTATGTAGCATGATCCTCTTCCAGAACAATCATTTGGACAGGTGGTTCGAATACCTTCAGCTTCGCCCACAATCAATGATATACCATGCGGCAAAAGTTCATCATTGTACACTGACAGGAACCACCTTCCGACGTCCAAGTACTGAAGAATTGTAACATTAACAGTCATGGAGTCCATATCCAATTTTGGCATCGCACTATCCGCTGATCGTTTGGTTATTATGTGTTGATCGACATCATCTAAATGAAGATCAGCAAAAGCAAATTCGTTGCTTCGGTGGATTTCAAACGGAGACTGATGCTCAGGATGAGGATTTTCGTCAAAATTGCTTAAATCTTCAAGTGGGTTTTGTACAGATTCATCATCATTCACCAAACTTCGCTTTCGTCGTAAGCGGTGATCTATCCGTCCGCCTTTGATAAATTCAACAAAATCATACTGCGTAATACTTGGTCCAACATTTCGCCGACCGTATACGGCAAAGTTGGCACCCCATGGTAAAGTAAAATTAAATTGAATAAAAGCGGGATGTTTGTTGCGGAATTCTGCGTTCCAAAACTGGAAAGGTGGAATGGTTGCACGGTGAAGCTCATTAAAACCCTTCAGCTCTACTATCGCAGGCCATTTTTGTGCTGCTAGCGAGGACATGAGCTGGTCTTGTGCTTGCTGCTGTTGCAGCTGTTGGTCCTGATAATTGAACTGTGATAAACTGCCTTGCATATTTCCATAATGATTAACTGTTGTAAAACTATTGTGATCGGCTGTACTTGTTAGAAGTGATTCCTCCGTGGGTAACAGTGTTGAACCACCATTACTTCCCACCGTTGCAGAAACCGTGCCAAGATTGCTGGTGGAGCTAGCAGCATCTGAAGTGACCTGATCCTGTGCACTCGATTTCACATCCTGTACCAATATACAATTAGTTGAATCGATATTTGGCTTCATTGAACTCGTTGCTGTAAAGAGAGGATAAAACATACAATTATATACGAATTCATTTAAGGATGGTTTATAGAACCTGAAACAGAGATGCATGTCAAATTAGTTGGTTAAGTTTTTTTTTAGTTTTCCACATTTTCTGTTCAATTACGATTCAATATAGAATTCATGCATCACATTGCTTCATATTGCTTCTTATTGGAGAAAAGGCTTTTCTTCACTATTCAATGCTACTAAATTAGAAGTTCTAAGTCTCTTGAGAGTTTGGCCCTTATTACCGATGTCACTTCACGGTGAAGTGACAACTAATCACTCACGGTGAAGTGATTCCCATTAAATTTACACGGCAATCACTTCACCGTGAGTGACAAGTGGTCACTTCACTTCGTTTTCACCGTGAAGTGACATTCGTAATAAGGGATTTTATTATGTGACTCTATGGTGATTTTTATTCGCTCGACATCAAGTCCACTCGTTCAACTGACTGGCCACGTTCAACTGATTAAATAGACTCATCGTTTGCTTAGACAAGTCCTTTTTTATTTAATTTCTCTTGCCATCACGATATCACTGAATGTGTTTTAACTGTAACATGACTGTTTAAATTATACAATAACATATGTTGGGTTTGATGCTATTTATCAATGGAAATGTTGAAAATTATGAGCTTTATTATTTGCTAATTGAAGAATAAGCAGAAGAGTCATGAACATTAATTCCCTTCAATTACAATACCAAGCCAAAAATTATATTTTTCTACACGTAGGGGGAGGAGGGGCATAGTGAATAGAAGGGGCATAGTGAACAGGTGGGACATAGTGAGCATCCCACAGTTTGACCCTGGATCTCTAGCTGCATGAAACAAATCAACTGGTAGTAGGTTCAATATCATTATGATTTTTTTTTTATAATCCATTTATTTGTCAAGGCTCAAATGCGTTAGCTTTGCGGAGCCGAATATTTTTTACATGATTGTGTGTGAATATCATTTTCTTACAACTAATGTTAGTAGAACGGGGGCCGATTACTCACGGTTTACTTGAGATTAGGGATTACATTTATTGATCATTTGGAGGGAGGACAAGGGAAAGCATTTTGAACTAATTTAAAACATAAACGTCTTCTTCTTCTTATTCGGATTTCAAGCTTATTGCTTAGTGCATATTAGCTTATTGCGTGCTCTCAACTTAGTGTTCTAGATTCACTTCCACAGTTATTAATTGAGAGCTTTCGATGCCAATACCATTGCATGAATTTGTATATTGTGTGGCAAAGCACAGTGATACTCTAGCCCAGGGAAGTCGAGAAAATTTCCAATCCGAAAGATTCCCTCGACCGGACCGGGAATCGAACCCGCCGCCTCCAGTTTGGTAATAAATACCGTGCCTTTACTGACTAGACTATGAGGCCGTAAAGGATGACTAAAACACAAAACATTAAACACATACATCAACAGCTTTAAGAAAGTCGTAAATAAGCTTCATAAAGTCGATATCACGGCAAGCCAAGACGTCTCTAATTGGCTTAAAGGGTTGTTTTCCTCGGACCCTAAGGGAATCACACAGAACGGATCTCGCCTCATGATGCAAGGAGCAGGACCAAACAACATGCTCGATGTCGTGATAACCGTTTTCACAGGTACATAAGTTGCTGTCGGTGAGCGTAATACGGAAAAGGTGGGCGTTTAACGAACAGTGATTGGACATGAGCCTGGACATTACACGAATAAAATCACGACTCATATCCAACCCTTGGAACCAGGGTTTGATCGACACCTGTGGGACAATAGAATGTAACCATCTTCCCAGATCACCACCATTCCACTTTTGTTGCCAGTTGTCGAGGACTTGCTCACGAGAAATCGTGAAAAATTCGTGGTAGGCGATTTGTCGCTCGTAAATATCGCCTTCCATAGCGCCCACCTTGGCCAGCGAGTCCGCTTTCTCATTGCCCGGGATAGAGCAATGAGAAGGGACCCATACCAAGGTGATGACATGCGAGCTGTATGATAAAGCACTCAATGACGATCGTATTTCCTGGAGGAAATACGCCGAGTGCTTCATCGGCCTCATTGAAAGCATAGTCTCCAGGGAGCTTAGGCTATCCGTAAAAATGAAATAATGGTCAGGTGGAAGTGAGGCAATACGCTCTAACCTGTACGATATAGCTGCTAGTTTAGCAACGTATACCGAACACGGCTTTTGAAGCTTGTATGAGGCACCAGTGGAAGCATTTATCACCGACCCATCTGTGAAAAATCTCTTCTTGGTGGGGACGTGGCGGTATTTGTTCGCAAAAATAGTTGGGACAATCAGGGAACGGTGAGGCTCTGGAATTCCTTGAATCTCCTGCCTCATTGAGAGATCGAATCTCACGGAAGAACAACCGAAATGATGGGAGACAGCGCGATTGGGGTTGAACGAGGAGGGGCCGATGTCCAGAGTCATGTACTCGTAGTACAAGCTCATGAATCGTGTTTGAGGATTCCGCTCTAGAAGCTTCTCAAAGTTCTCGAACACCAGCGGGTTCATACTTCACAGCGGATAAGGAGCCGGAACGATAAAACCGCAAAACGATTTGTTAAGGGGAGGACGCCCGCAAGAACTTTAAGACTCATGGTATGCGTCGATTGCATACAACCTAGCGCGATTCGAATGCAACGATATTGAATCCTTCGGAGCTTCAATATGTGCGTCCCCGCCGCCAATTGCAAGCAAAAGCTACCGTATTCCAAAATCGAGAGAATGGTGGTCTTGTAGAGTCTTATCAGATCTTCCGGATGGGCTCCCCATGAAGTGCCGGTAATGGAACGAAGGAAATTGATTCGCTGTTGGCATCTCTGCCTCAGATACGCTATGTGTTTTCCCCAAGTGCACTTGGAATCGAACCAGACACCTAAATACTCAAACGACATGCTGTGAGTGATTGTTCTACCCTTAAGTTGAAGCTGAAACTGTGCTGGATAAAGCTTCCTAGAAAAAACAACCATCTCTGTTTTCTCCGGAGAGAATTCGATACCAAGATTCATTGCCCAAGTAGACAAATTATCCAAGGTATCTTGCAATGGTCCTTGCAGGTCCGGTGCTGTTGGTCCAACCATGGAAACCACGCCGTCATCTGCAAGCTGCCTTAACGTGCAATTTTCGGCCAGACATTCATCAATGTCTTTGACATAGAAATTGTACAGGAGGGGACTTAAACATGAGCCTTGTGGAAGACCCATGTAGCTGATTCGTGCAATTTCCGAGTTACCATGAGAGAAGCTCATTCGTTTCTCGGACAACAAATTAAACAGGAAATTGTTGATAATCGGAGAAAGCCCACTCGCATGGAGTTTGTCCGAAAGTATGTCGATGCAAACAGAATCAAACGCCCCTTTAATGTCCAAGAAAACTGAACCCATCTGCTGTTTTTCAGCATAGGCTAATTGGATTTCAGTTGAAAGCAGTCCATATCATCGTTTTCCAGCGGCGGATCGCGAGTGTTGCATCGAACCGGAACCGAATCGGGACAAACCTTACGCGTGAAGTCGAAATACTCCTTGTCCTCGGTGACCGACGATGCCGCGTTACGCATTCTCCTGCCGACATTCCAGAGCGTTTGCATGGAAGTCTCTCGCGATAGCCCTTCGACGAACCGACGCCAGTAACCGCGTTTTTTGGCCCTGACCGAGCTCTTAAACTTTTCCTCCAGCTCCGTATACCGCTCAAAGTATTCGCGGGAACCGTATTTACGAAACTGTTTAAACGCGGTAGACTTCTCGTTATTCACGTCGGTGCATTCCTGGTCCACACAGTGGGAGGACGTTTGCGAATGGTAGTGCCAGGAACAGGCTTCGTTTATGCTTGAAGCGCGCAATCTACTATAAGCCGCGATAGGAAGGAGTACTCATCCAACGGAGAGAGAACGTCGACCGATTCTGAACCGTCACGGACCACGTTCGCGTATTCTTCCCAATTGATGATTCTCGTGATTGGACACTGTGAAGATGAACCGTTGGAAATCGAAATTTTGATGGGCAAATGATCACTACCATAGGGGTCTTGGATTACCTCCCACATGCAATCCAATGATAGTGAGTTCGAATAGAGTGACAAGTCTAGTCTGTTCTCTCTTGCTGGAGGTTTGGCTATTCGAGTTACTTCACCGGTGTTTAGAATGGTCATATTGAAATCGTCGCATAGGTCATAGATGATGGTTGAGCGGTTGTCATCGTACAGCTCTCCCCAGCCTGTACCGTGGGAATTAAAATCCTCTAAGATCAACCGCGGCACAGGTAGCACTGAGCAGAGGTCAGATAGCGCTCGCCGAGAAACAGCCGTTCTCGGAGGGATGTATAACGAGGCAATACTGAAGGTTTTACCTCTAATATTCACCTGACATGCGACAATTTCAATACCTGACACTGGAGGAAGGTCGATTCTGTAGAATGAGTGTTGTTTGTTGACCCCTAGGAGCACCCCACCGTACGAATCTGCACGATCGAGACGAATAATGTTGTAGCAGACGCCGTCGCAAAAAACGAGTCCAGTCGACTATAGTGCGAACCAAACCAACACAAACTCAAACCAAACCGCTCCCAATGCGAACCTAGCTAAAACGACCTCGAACCAAGCTTTCCGGCCTCGGTTCGAATCAATCTCGGCCAAAGCTTTTACCATGCCACCACCGAAACAAATTCCCCAACGTCAACAACAGAAGCTGTTACCACCAGTTCTGACCGAACAGAATTTCCCCACGTTAGCCCCTACCTCGGCTTTGATTCCCCCATCGGACAGCGGGTCGTTGACTCCCTATACAAGTCAACAACCCCCCGCTGGCGGCGGAGTGGATCGCAAAACTGCTAGTGGTAAGTCCGATGGAAACGAAACAGATTCGTCTGTAGGGTCATCCAGCTCCAGAAGACACCTCCGCACTCGACCACCAGGCAAGAAGCCTCGCGTGGATGACGACTGCGACGACAAGCGAGATGGGAGTAACCAACCGTCCTAATGGCTGAGTTCTCCAGTTACAACCT